GGTGGTGGTAGTTGGAGTCATGGTAGTGATAGCTCCGCCAACTACCAACCCAACAACCAACCCCCCTGATGCTGGACAATCCGTCTCAGCGCCCCCAACACCCTCGCAAAACCTCCAAAATCAACTAACAAACAGGACCCAAGAACTAAAGCTCAACCCTCGCGAGCACAAACACATTTGCCACGTGACAAAAAAACGGATTCATCTGAACCAGCTTCGATACCAGGGGTTCGAGCCCCCCAGAGCCACACCCCACTCAAGTGCCCTCTGGCGGGAACAATACGCCCACTGTTACCTAGCAGTAAATAGGTACCTGGGAGTTAGTCAGCTGTCACGGGCTGCTTCCTGGGGGTGGAGGCCTGGTCGAGGACCGGGCCGCGGGGACACTAAAAAGCCCCGAAATCATCTCAAGATAACCTCAAGATAACCACCCCAGAGAGGGTTTAAGGACACATAAACAGGGAGGGATACAGGACACATAGAGGGGGAGGGAGGATACATAGAGAAGGACTGGGGGGTCAGGAGGTCCTGGGGAGAGGTAATCGCCCAGTAATGGTTCACCTTCTGCCTCGCTGTGCGCGGATTACTTCAGATTTGGGGGATTTATCGATGGATTTCGCAAATATTTGCCTCTTTTTGGTTTGTTATTGTGAATGAGATTTGTTAAGGAGAGTTAGATCATTGTCGAGGCTTAACCAGACCACACACTAGAAGGTGAAGGGACGACCACGTTTCGGTCCGTCCTGGACCATTCTCAAGTCAATTGTCGACTTGAGAATGGTCCAGGACGGACCGAAACGTCGTCGTCCCTTCACCTTCTAGTGTGTGGTCTGGTCAACATACTTTAGCCACGTTATTGTGACTCATCGCTTGTCGAGGCTTGCTGTGTGGGAGGGGGCTGGGGGGGGGTAGAGATAGAGAAAGATAGTGAGGGAGAGAGAGAAAAAAAGGTAGAGAAAAGGAGAGAGAAATGGATAACGTAAAGTAGACAGTCTACCTTATCTGTGTACTGTCCACAAGAGTAGATAGTCTACCTTATCTGTGTACTGTCCACAAGAGTAGATAGTCTACCTTATCTGTGTACTATCCACAAGAGTAGACAGTCTACCTTATCTGTATACTGTCCAAAAAAAGTTATATTTTAATAGATCAAAGAAAAAGCAGCTCTGTCGATTAGGTAAAATTGAATGCTAATTTTGTCATTAAAGATGGAACATGAGCGGTAATTGTATGGTGATTAATATGTGTTTATGTAATTGTATGGTGATTAATATTTTTGTGTATGTAATTGTATGGTGATTAACATGTATGTATATAATTATAGAATGATTAAAATGTATGCAAGCTTCAATTTAAGCTTATCTGAAAGTTGTTTAGTGTGACTCTAGTTTTATTATCCTGTTGTCTACACACACGGTCTTAAAAGTGGGCGAGTGTTTGTAAAGTTGTCTGCAGCTCTGGGAGGCTTGTTGGGTCGGGGGGGGGGAGAGGTAGGGAGGGCGGGAGGGGGGGGGGAGGTAGGGAGGGCGGGAGGGGGGGGAGAGGTAGGGAGGGCGGGAGGGGGGGAGAGGTAGGGAGGGGGGGGGGAGAGGTAGGGAGGGCGGGAGGGGGGGGAGAGGTAGGGAGGGGGGGAGAGGTAGGGAGGGCGGGAGGGGGGGGGAGAGGTAGGGAGGGCGGGAGGGGGGGAGAGGTAGGGAGGGGGGGAGAGGTAGGAGGGCGGGAGGGGGGGGAGAGGTAGGGAGGGCGGGAGGGGGGGAGAGGTAGGCTTGCTCAGAGCCACAATTAAAGATATATTTATAAGTTAGGCTTTATACACTCTGGAATAAAACAAAAGAAGTAGATGAAAGCGCTTTATTACATTTCCGCCTATGATGCAAGACTTTACTCACATGCATACAAGTGTATATATATATATATATATATATATATATATATATATATATATATATATATATATATATATATATATATATATATATATATATATATATATATATATATTTATATATATGTCGTACCTAGTAGCCAGAACTCACTTCTCAGCCTACTATTCAAGGCCCGATTTGCCTAATAAGCCAAGTTTTCCTGAATTAATATATTTACTATAATTTTTTTCTCATGAAATGATAAAGCAAAACCCTTTTCTCTATGTATGAGGTCAATTTTTTTTAATTGGAGTTAAAATTAACGTAGATATATGACCGAACCTAACCAACCCTACCTAACCTAACCTAACCTATATTTATGTGTAAGGTTAGGTTAGGTAGCCAAAAAAAGCTAGGTTAGGTTAGGTTAGGTAGGTTAGGTAGACGAAAAAACATTAATTCATGAAAACTTGGCTTATTAGGCAAATCGGGCCTTGAATAGTAGGCTGAGAAGTGCGTTCTGGCTATTAGGTACGACATATATATATATATATATATATGTCGTACCTAATAGCCAGAACGCGCTTCTCAGCCTACTATTCAAGGCCCGATTTTGCCTAATAAGCCAAGTTTTCATGAATTAATGTTTTTTTCGTCTACCTAACCTACCTAACCTAACCTAACCTAGTTTTTGTTGGCTACCTAACCTAACCTTACCTATAAATATAGGTTAGGTTAGGTTAGGTAGGGTTGGTTAGGTTCGGTCATATATCTACGTTAATTTTAACTGCAATAAAAAAAAATTGACCTCATACATAGAGAAAAGGGTTGCTTTATCATTTCATAAGAAAAAAATTATAGTAAATATATTAATTCAAGAAAACTTGGCTTATTAGGCAAATTGGGCCTTGAATAGTATGCTGAGAAGTGAGTTCTGGCTATTAGGTACGACATATATATATATATATATATCGTACCTAGTAGCCAGAACGCACTTCTCAGCCTACTATGCAAGGCCCGATTTGCCTAATAAGCCAAGTTTTCATGAATTAAATTATTTTCTCTAACTTTTTCATATGAAATGATAAAGCTACCCATTTAATTATGTATGAGGTCAGTTTTTTTTTATTGCAGTTAAAATTAACGTAGATATATGACCGAACCTAACCAACCGCTTATATATATATATATATATATATATATATATATATATATATATATATATATATATATATATATATATATATATATATGTATTATACCTTATAAGGCAAGTTGCCTACCAAGCCGAATTATTCTGAAATATTCTAGTTTTCACCATTTTTTTTTATGAAGTGATGGAACTTTCCATTACATTATTATTGATCAGTTTGATCCAACTTAATGTAACTTAACTAAGTCAGTATGTCATGTTTTTAATATAATATCAAAATATTAATTTGCATAAACCAATTTGGGAAGAAATATTTGAAAATAATGAAAGTCACTCTGCTTGTTAGGCAAATCGGGCCTTGCATACTATATATATATATATATATATATATATATATATATATATATATATATATATATATATATATATGGAATGATAAATGAGGAGAAAACCTCATAGAAGCCTCCGACACCCTTCTTAACACGTGTCATTATAAACTAGAGGTTAGCATGTGGTCTGACACAGCTACAGTTTGATGAATCAGTCCGGCAACGTTGCAGGACGAATAAAACAAAGTAGAGGAGAAAACTGAGAGGCACGATGGACGTGTTGATGGCCTGGGACCAGATTCACGAAAGCAGTTACGCAAGCACTTACGAACGTGTACATCTTTCCTCAATCTTTGACGGCTTTGGTTACATTTATTAAACAGTTTACAAGCATGAAAACTTGCCAATCAACTGTTGTTATTGTTATAAACAGCCTCCTGGTGCTTCGGAGCTCATTAACTGTTTAATAATTGTAAACAAACCCGTCAAAGAATGAGAAAAGATGTACAGGTTCGTAAGTGTTTGCGTAACTACTTCGTGAATCTAGACCCTGGACTCCCAGCAGCGTGAGGTTGACTACTCAACCCGTCCTCCCCAACGTCAAAATTAAAGTGTCCTCTCTTAACCTACCAGACTAAGCCAGAGGACCTACAACCCGTTCTCGCACTTTCGTATAGTCAATATTGACTTATTAAATACGTGCATATGTGATATACTAATTTATTGTGAATATTTTAGTTTACCTTGAAAAGCTTCATAGAAAACACCGACCTTACCTAACCTTCTTAGTATGTTAAGATAAGCATCTTATTGCTTCGTAATTACAATTATTACTTAACCAATTATAGGTATAGGTTAAGTAATAATTGTAATTACGAAGCAATAAGATGCTTATCTTAACATACTAAGAAGGTTAGGTAAGGTCGGTGTTTTCTATGAAGCTTTTCAAGGTAAACTAAAATATTCACAATAAATTAGTATGTCACATATGCACGTATTTAATAAGTCAATATTGACTATAAGAAAGTGCGAGAACGGGTTGGGACAGCCACAACACCCTACAAGTGTACCAACAACCTCATGTGTTGTTGGCTACGGTGTACGAGACTGTGTGCTGGCAAGATACCTGGGGCCAGATTCACGAAAGCACTTACGCAAACACTTATGAACCTGGACATCTTTTCCCAATCTTTGGCGGCATTGTTTACAATTATTAGACAGTTAATGAGCTCCGAAGCACCAGGAGGCTGTTTATAGCAATAACAACAGTTGAATGGGAAGTTTTCATGCTTGTAAACTGTTTAATAAATGTAACCAAAGCCGTCAAAGATTGAGGAAAGATGTACACGTTCGTAAGTGCTTGCGTAACTGCTTTCGTGAATCTGGCCCCAGATGCCTCAAGCAGGTGATGGTCCTCCCACCTGCTTTGTCTTCGTGTGCTTGAACACACTATATATAAGAATTAACAAAAAACGGAGTTGACATTAATGAAATAATTAACAATTGTCATTAAAGCTGTACATGAGAGCGCGAGGCTCACACACACACACACACACACACACACACACACACACACACACACACACACACACACACACACACACATACACACACACACACACACACACACACATACACACATGAGGCATTACACGTCTCTAAGGACGAGCACATTTGTCACGGGCTGCTTCCTGGGGGTGGAGGCCTGGTCGAGGACCGGGCCGCGGGGACACTAAAAAAAGCCCCGAAATCATCTCAAGATAACCACGTAGTACGGAGGCCAGTGCTGTGGCAGGTGAAGGGAGCTCAGCATGTTGTTGTTATAGATTCAACTACTCGGAACAAGTTCCAAGTAGCACGGGCTATGGTGAGCCCGTAACTTACCTGGCACAGGAGCGGAGCAAGAAGCACGGGCTATGGTTAGCCTGAGGTCAGCAGATGATGAAGATTAAGCCACCCAAGAGGTGGCACGGGCATGAATAGCCCGTAAGGAGGTCAGCACTCCTTGCTTGGCTGACCAAGCTCTAGCTCCACCTCACTCACACCACCTCCAGGGGCTGGTCTTCTCTGGATGTCTTGTAATAGTGTACCCTGGAGAGGTCAAGTACGCACTCAGTGAGGTATTAGTAAGTTGTGTTAGTAACACACTTTAGTATTAGTAAGTTAAGTGTGTAAGTAAGTGTGTGTGTTAACACACACACACACACACACACCAGCCATCATAGTGGTGACTCCGCGTTACGGAAACTGTCTTCCAGGCAAGCGGAGTCACTTGGATCTGTAGTGTGTGCTGTACTGACGCCCCAGTCTCCCTGTAACTACTACGACAGTAATAAGTCAATTGGCTAGATCTTGTTCACTAAGATCTAGTCTGCACGAGTCTAAGCACAAAAATTGTGGCCATAGTACACAGATGAGGCCAAGTGGGCACTTCGCAACACCTAGTTAGGCCAAGGTCTTGTGTTTCACCATTGTTCACAATACCTGTAGCAAGAAACACCTCATTGACACATTGTTTTTTCAACTTCCGCCTAAATTCTCTCGATATTTACTGTGGCCTGGTGTTAGAAATAAACAAGAAACTAAAAGTATTTACAGGTCAAACACCTATCTTGCTCGTCACAAGATATTTATTTTTCAGACTACCACGAGTGAGAGAGGCGCACTAGTCCTACTGGAGGAGCTGGCGGAGGAGTAAGGTGGCCATCGTGGCGCCGTCTGCGTGTCCAGGCTCCTCCAGCAGCCACCAACGGCTCCTCCAGCAGCCACCAGCGGCTCCTCCAGCAGCCACCAACGGCTCCTCCAGCAGCCACCAGCGGCTCCTCCAGCAGCCACCAGCGGCAGAGGTCGCAGACACTCGCTCACACATCCAGGACGTGATTGAGGTAGGCGATGTAGCAGATGGCTAGACGAAGGATCTCAATCTTGGAGAGTTTCTTATCCGGAGGCAGTGTCGGCAGGAGCTTCCGCAGCTGCGCGAAGGCAACGTTGAAGGCCTCCACGCGCATGCGCTCTCGACTAGCATGCGCAGTGCGGTACTTGAGGGTAGCCCGCCTGCGCCGCCTTCTCTCCTCCTTCGTCATGGCCAGCACGTGCTCGCGTTCCCTGCAACACAACACAAAATACACGAACATCAATCCACCCCCATAAACACACTGTTATTAAAATAAACACTAATACAATGTATTCAACCTGGAGGCGGGAAGATATCCTAGCAAAACCGCACTCGTTCAAATTTCATTATAGCTAATTCCTGCAGCTTTCACTACTAGGTGTATGACCTGTCTTGGTCAGCTTGAGCCCAGTAGCTACGTCCCCCTACCTTGACCGTCTGCTGGTGGGGGCGTTAGAGTTGCCCAGGAGAAATGTTGGGTCGTTTTCGATGTCTGACGGACGGTTCTCGTGTCCTCTGACCTCCTCGCGGTGACTAGTTGACCCCTCGTGTGACCTGAGCTCGGCGCGGAGGTCACGGTGTACGAGATCAGCGCGCAGTTCGACGGGCAGAAGGTCAGCCTTGAGGTCGGGTCGGGTGGTGGTGGCGTAGTCTGGCACTGGTCGGTACTCCAGTCGTCGGCTTAGTTCTGACCTGTCCGGAAGGAGTTCACAGGTTAAGCTAACTTGTCCAAAGTCACTCTCAAGATATACAGCATCTCTAGTACCACCGCATTGACTCACTCTCCCAACACCATCATTTTGCGTCACTCTCCAGCACCGCCACATTGCGTCACTCTCCAACACCGCCACATTGCGTCACTCTCCAGCACTACTCTGCGTCACTGTAACACCACCACTGGTTGTGTTAGCAGTGAACGGCTGAATCAGTAGTACAGGGCGAGCCTAAACTCCCTGTTCATATAACGTAGACGGTTAATATAGTTCTACAAACCACTACACATAATTACAAATATATTTCTTATATTTAGGCTACAGAAAATGTTGAATAAGAGCACCTAGTGCCTAGGAACACACATCTACAAGTCTCAACTCCTTTACAAAGACTAGCTCTAATTCTATAGGCACAGTTTTGAAATTTGCAAAGACTTATTCGATTTCCAATAGGCTATGAGGACTGTTTTAGTCGACTGCACTTTCCATCACTCACTACAGTTCTTAGCTGATGGTATAGTCCTCTTTAGGGGGGTAGAAATAGCCTAAGCTACTCTATCCCTTTGAGATGTATTTATTGCTTATCTCAATAAACATACATGAACTTGAACTTGGTATAGTCCAACAATATGTGGCCGGATCAACCTCGTATGTGACAAGTGTTTCCTTAATCTCTCACAGATTATACTCAACCCCCAAATGATGTAGTTTAGGCTGTTTATATAACTTTTTTTTTTGGGATATACAAGAGTTGTTACATTGTTGTAGAGCCACTAGTACGCGTAGCGTTTCGGGCAGGTCCCTGGAATACGATCCCCGCCGCGAAGAATCCTTGTTACAACCAAGTACACATTTTACTGTTGAGTTAAACAGAGGCTACAGTTAAGGATTTGCGTCCAGTAAATCCTCCCCGGCCAGGATACGAACCCATGACAAAGCGCTCGCGGAACGCCAGGCGAGTGTCTTACCACTACACCACGGAGACTAACTTAGATAATTAAAACCGAGACTCTTGGATAAAAAGTCACATCCTGAATATGGTAATGACAAGGCAGTAATACAGTCTCCTAACCATCCGGCAATATTGCACAGAGTCCAAGTTGGTGATCTCAAACTAGGCACTCAGGATTTCTGGAAGAGATTCGAGTGGTAAAGCCTCATAGGTGTTCTTCCCGCGCACGGGACGCCTGGCGCGCTGCAGGGAGCATATTTTTTTTGCAGGGAGCACCCCATAAAAGATGGGGGAGGGGTCACACTTGGCCATGTCTATTATGGGGGGTCACACTTGGCCATGTCTTTTATAGGGGTCACACTTGGCCATGTCAAGTATCCAGTGGTTTCTCGAGGTACAAGAGCTGGGCGGCCGCCTCGGGGGTCTGGGCACGTCGTCAACTGATCCATCCACCTTCATCCTTCAATTCGAGTAGTGTTGCCAAGTGGCACCAGCACCAAGAGCACGGTGGCACCTCAGTGTTGCCAGGTGGCACCTCAGTGTTGCCAGGTGGCACCTCAGTGTTGCCAGGTGGCACCTCAGTGTTGCCAGGTGGCACCTCAGTGTTGCCAGGTGGCACCTCAGTGTTGACAGGTGGCACCTCAGTGTTGCCAGGTGGCACCTCAGTGTTGCCAGGTGCCTGCAGTGACTACAGCTGCCGGTGTGTAGACTACAACTGCCAGTGTGTAGACTACAGCTGCCAGTGTGTAGACTACAACTGCCAGTGTGTAGACTACAGCTGCCGGTGTGTAGACTACAACTGCCAGTGTGTAGACTACAACTGCCAGTGTGTAGACTACAACTGCCAGTGTGTAGACTACAACTGCTAGTGTGTAGACTACAACTGCCAGTGTGTAGACTACAACTGCTAGTGTGTAGACTACAACTGCCAGTGTGTAGACTACAACTGCCAGTGTGTAGACTACAACTGCCAGTGTGTAGACTACAACTGCCAGTGTGTAGACTACAACTGCCAGTGTGTAGACTACAACTGCCAGTGTGTAGACTACAGCTGCCAGTGTGTAGACTACAACTGCCAGTGTGTAGACTACAACTGCTAGTGTGTAGACTACAACTGCCAGTGTGTAGACTACAACTGCCAGTGTGTAGACTACAACTGCTAGTGTGTAGACTACAACTGCCAGTGTGTAGACTACAGCTGCCAGTGTGTAGACTACAGCTGCCAGTGTGTAGACTACAACTGCCAGTGTGTAGACTACAGCTGCCAGTGTGTAGACTACAACTGCCAGTGTGTAGACTACAACTGCCAGTGTGTAGACTACAGCTGCTAGTGTGTAGACTACAGCTGCCAGTGTGTAGACTACAACTGCCAGTGTGTAGACTACAGCTGCCAGTGTGTAGACTACAGCTGCCAGTGTGTAGACTACAACTGCCAGTGTGTAGACTACAACTGCCAGTGTGTAGACTACAACTGCCAGTGTGTAGACTACAGCTGCTAGTGTGTAGACTACAGCTGCTAGTGTGTAGACTACAACTGCCAGTGTGTAGACTACAACTGCCAGTGTGTAGACTACAACTGCCAGTGTGTAGACTACAACTGCCAGTGTGTAGACTACAGCTGCTAGTGTGTAGACTACAACTGCCAGTGTGTAGACTACAGCTGCCAGTGTGTAGACTACAGCTGCCAGTGTGTAGACTACAGCTGCCAGTGTGTAGACTACAGCTGCCAGTGTGTAGACTACAACTGCCAGTGTGTAGACTACAACTGCCAGTGTGTAGACTACAACTGCCAGTGTGTAGACTACAGCTGGCAGTGTGTAGACTACAGCTGGCAGTGTGTAGACTACAGCTGGCAGTGTGTAGACTACAGCTGGCAGTGTGTAGACTACAGCTGGCAGTGTGTAGACTACAGCTGCCGGTGTAGACTACAGCTGGCAGTGTAGACTACAGCTGCCAGTGTAGACTACAGCTGCCAGTGTAGACTACAGCTGGCAGTGTAGACTACAGCTGGCAGTGTAGACTACAGCTGGCAGTGTGTAGACTACAGCTGGCAGTGTGTAGACTACAGCTGCCGGTGTAGACTACAGCTGGCAGTGTAGACTACAGCTGCCAGTGTAGACTACAACTGCCAGTGTAGACTACAACTGTCTACACCTGGGGCCAGATTCACGAAGCAGTTACGCAAGCACTTACGAACGTGTACATCTTTCCTCAATCTTTGACGGCTTTGTTTACATTTATTAAACAGTTCACAAGCATGAAAACTTGCCAATCAACTGTTGTTATTGTTATAAACTGCCTCCTGGTGCTTCGGAGCTCATTAACTGTTTAATAATTGTAAACAAAGCCGGCAAAGATTGAGAAAAGATGGACAGGTTCGTAAGTGCTTGCGTAACTGCTTCGTGAATCTGGCCCCTGGCTTGCTAGTTTTACTAATTAACTCACCTGCTGTTTACCAAGGTACTGTTCCTCTCATCGTGTTACTCATGCACATGCGTGAGTCCAGATGAGTCAGGTAGCCCACTCGACTCATCTGGATGAGGTTCCAGACTCTCCAGAATGAGGAACTTGACTTGACACCACGCCAGGATAATTGACTCACCACGGCGGGATAATTGACTCACCAGGCCGGGATAATTGACTCACCAGGCCGGGATAATTGACTCACCACGCCAGGATAATTGACTCACCACGCCGGGATAATTGACTCACCACTCCGGGATAATTGACTCACCAGGCGTAAGAGACTCACCACGCCGGGATTATTGACTCACCAGGCGTAAAAGACTCACCACGCCGGGATAATTGACTCACCAGGCGCAAGAGACTCACCACGCCGGGATAATTGACTCACCAGGCGTAAGAGACTCACCAGGCCGGGATAATTGACTCACCAGGCGTAAGAGACTCACCAGGCCGGGATAATTGACTCACCACGGCGGGATAATTGACTCACCAGGCCGGGATAATTGACTCACCAGGCGTAAGAGACTCACCACGCCGGGATAATTGACTCACCAGGCGTAAGAGACTCACCAGGCGTCAGAGACAAGACTCACCTGGCAATATCGTGCTTGACAGGGAGGTCAGGTCGGGGGGCGGCGACCCGGAGCTCGGGGGGAGCCAGGAGACGGGGGTCGCGGGTCACCAGGTCAGCCGAGGTCATGTAGCTGCAGGCTGTGTAGTGACCCGCCAGCGGGAAGTCCATGTCCAATCTGAAGACGGGTCAAAGGTCAGGCGGTAGAGCTCATTCGTATATTGGGTTAGAGGTTAGGACCTTTCTGAACGGTTGTGGTGGTGGTTGTGGTTATGTGGTGGTGGTTGTGGCTATGTGGTGGTGGTGGTTGTGGCTATGTGGTGGTGGTTGTGGTGGTGGTGGTTGTGGCTATGTGGTGGTGGTTGTGGCTATGTGGTGGTGGTTGTGGCTATGTGGTTGTGGTGGTGGTGGTTGTGGCTATGTGGTGGTGGTTGTGGCTATGTGGTGGTGGTTGTGTTTATGTGGTGGTGGTTGTGGCTATGTGGTGGTGGTTGTGTTTGTGTGGTGGTGGTTGTGTTTATGTGGTGGTGGTTGTGTTTATGTGGTGGTGGTTGTGGCTATGTGGTGGTGGTTGTGGCTATGTGGTGGTGGTTGTGGCTATGTGGTGGTGGTTGTGGCTATGTGGTTGTGGTGGTGGTGGTTGTGGCTATGTGGTGGTGGTTGTGTTTATGTGGTGGTGGATGTGTTCGTGTGGTGGTGGTTGTGGCTATGTGGTGGTGGTTGTGGCTATGTGGTGGTGGTTGTGGCTATGTGGTGGTGGTTGTGTTTGTGTGGTGGTGGTTGTGTTCGTGTGGTGGTGGTTGTGGCTATGTGGTGGCCAGGTGGTGCTACAAGGATAGGGTTACCAATCCAGGTGGTGCTACAAGGATAGGGTTACCAAGCCAGGTGGTGCTACAAGGATAGGGTTACCAATCCAGGTGGTGCTACAAGGATAGGGTTACCAAGCCAGGTGGTGCTACAAGGATAGGGTTACCAAGCCAGGTGGTGCTACAAGGATAGGGTTACCAAGCCAGGTGGTGCTACAAGGATAGGGTTACCAATCCAGGTGGTGCTACAAGGATAGGGTTACCAAGCCAGGTGGTGCTACAAGGATAGGGTTACCAAGCCAGGTGGCGCTACAAGGATAGGGTTACCAATCCAGGTGGTGCTACAAGGATAGGGTTACCAATCCAGGTGGTGCTACAAGGATAGGGTTACCAAGCCAGGTGGTGCTACAAGGATAGGGTTACCAAGCCAGGTGGTGCTACAAGGATAGGGTTACCAAGCCAGGTGGTGCTACAAGGATAGGGTTACCAAGCCAGGTGGTGCTACAAGGATAGGGTTACCAAGCCAGGTGGTGCTACAAGGATAGGGTTACCAAGCCAGGTGGTGCTACAAGGATAGGGTTACCAAGCCAGGTGGTGCTACAAGGATAGGGTTACCACGCCAGGTGGTGCTACAAGGATAGGGTTACCACGCCAGGTGGTGCTACAAGGATAGGGTTACCAAGCCAGGTGGTGCTACAAGAATAGGGTTACCACGCCAGGTGGTGCTACAAGGATAGGGTTACCAAGCCAGGTGGTCCTACAAGGATAGGGTTACCACGCCAGGTGGTGCTACAAGGATAGGGTTACCAAGCCAGGTGGTGCTACAAGGATAGGGTTACCACGCCAGGTGGTGCTACAAGGATAGGGTTACCAAGCCAGGTGGTGCTACAAGGATAGGGTTACCAAGCCAGGTGGTGGTACAAGGATAGGGTTACCAATCCAGGTGGTGGTACAAGGATAAGGTTACCACGCCAGGTGGTGCTACAAGGATAGGGTTACCAAGCCAGGTGGTGCTACAAGGATAGGGTTACCAAGCCAGGTGGTGGTACAAGGATAGGGTTACCAATCCAGGTGGTGGTACAAGGATAGGGTTACCACGCCAGGTGGTGCTACAAGGATAGGGTTACCAAGCCAGGTGGTGCTACAAGGATAGGGTTACCAAGCCAGGTGGTGGTACAAGGATAGGGTTACCAATCCAGGTGGTGGTACAAGGATAAGGTTACCACGCCAGGTGGTGCTACAAGGATAGGGTTACCAAGCCAGGTGGTGCTACAAGGATAGGGTTACCAAGCCAGGTGGTGGTACAAGGATAGGGTTACCAATCCAGGTGGTGGTACAAGGATAGGGTTACCACGCCAGGTGGTGGTACAAGATGGTGTGGGCCCCCCCTGACCCCTGCCACTCACCTGGTACATACAGAGACGAGTCAGTCACCTTGGAACGCCATGGTCAGCCTCCTAGGGGCCTCCCTCACCTCTCCCTCACTCTCCCCTCATCTCCCTCACTCCCCCTCACTCCTCCATCTGTAGTAGCAGCGGCAAGATCGACAACGCCAGTGAATTGGGTGGTTTTACAGTTTAGGTGTTGGGTGACTGGCCCAGCCCCGTGAGAGGACACCAGCGGCCTCTGGGGCGACGGTTTCCCGCGTAAATAATACCTTGTCCTCGCGATGACCAATTTCACAACCGATTTCACCCCCAAGTTTGTTTTGATTCTGTCCGTCACACTAAATTGGCGGAACCGACTGGAGATGAAAGTCAGCATCCCCGCAGCAGCATCCTGGACTCCTCCCCCTCCATCTCCCAGGACACGCCTCTTGGACACATACCGCGAACTCTATTGGTCGTCCAGACCGGCCGCGCGCAGTTGATTGGTAAGTGGGCTGGAGGTCCCGAGGTTCAGTTACTGGCGAGGCTGTGACTGGTGGATGGAATCAGGGGAGTATGGTGTTCCTATGTAAACTGACCACTTATTGGTTTACACATCACTGCATGCGATCTTAAACTCCGTGTAACTGGTTGACTCGCGAGATTTATGGCTTCTATATCACTACGGATTTGTCTCAATCTGACTCCTCTATTGTATGAAGTTTTACTGTGTGAAGTAAGTCGATCCTGTGATCGACGATGCTTAAAAACAATGTTTTAAATGGTGGTGCTTTGTCTCTCATGTCTCTCACCTGGCCACACCCACGGATGCTGTGGTGCCAGAGAGATACAGACAGGCACTTGAAGGCTGCCCGCTCCTCCTGGGTATTGATCTCGGGCCACGATGGCGCCGCCCCCCGCCGCAGCTTCCTCTCATCCCATATTCCCAGTTATGATACTCCCTAAGCTGGGCCGTTCTCTCTTCATACTTTGTCTTTGCCACCACTAACAACCGGATAGTTAGTCCATTTGCCAATTCAGTTATCACACAGGGAGAGATGCTAATGACTCGAGGAGTTCCTTAAACCTGCCAGTATTATTTTATTGAACTGCAGTATTTGGCTTAGCATGCAAGGCCCCATTTGCCTAACAAGCAAAGTGATTTTCGTTATTTGCAAATATTTCTTTCCAAATTGGTTCATTCCAAGTAATTATATTATATTAATAACATGAATTGCTGGCTTAGTTATGTTAGGTTAGGCTAGATTAGAATAGATTAGGTTAGGAGATACTAGGATATATATATATATATATATATATATATATATATATATATATATATATATATATATATATATATATATATATATATATCTTCGTTATTTCGTTAATAACGAAGATATTAATATCTTCTCGGTGTACCCGGTACAGTACCCGGTGGTGCCCGGGTCCCCCCAAAAAAAGATTGCACCATTTAAGTGTTGCAAGCCCACAGAATGGAAATCTGCCGCTAAAGCTTGCAATGTTATGAACAACTGAAAATTATCCGGACACAAAATTTATTCAAACTTCATAGAGACGCGATGAGAGCCTATAACAGTCCCCTACCTAACTTCAGTCACCCTGAAAAGTTGAGTGGGCCAATTCCCGAAGAGTCTGGCCTCCATCCTTCGACAACAAACATAAATCCTGTATTGATGTAGTTGAAATAAGCAACAAGTTACGTAAGCTAGTCTATGAAGCATATAACCCCAACTAGCACCACTAATGTAGGAAAACAACGAGGTCGGTTCATGCAGGTCGGCGTTCAATCCCTGACCGTCCAAGTGGTTGGGCACCATTCCTTCCCCCCGTCCCATCCCACATCCTTATCCTGGCCCCTTCCCAGTGCTATATAGTCGTAATGGCTTGGCGCTTTCCCCCTGATAATTCCCTTCCCTTCCCTTCCAGGCAGAATCCTTGTTGGCCGTCGTCCCAACACTCTGATTTATTATTATTATTAACATCTTTATTGACAAAATTAATTACAATTTTGCCTAATCTGAGGATTTTGATAGTCTTATTAAAGTGAGGATAATGGTGGTATTCACTGTCACGCAGGACAGAGGGTCATACATAAGACAATAGGTCTAAACTGTAGGCTGAAGTACATATATATCATGGTTACAATCAATGTTTTAATGTATGGATATGTGAAAACAACTTATCCATACATTAAAACATTGATTGTAACCTCTGAGGTGGCTTCGTGGTGTTCATGAGGTTTACCCTCACTACCACACATCCACTTTCATTATTTTTGTTAGGGCTTTAATTAAAGTGAAGCTGCTTCATGCCTCATATCTGGGGGGTCTGACAGCTGAGTGAACAGCGCTTCGGATTCGTAGTCCTGAGGTTCCGGGTTCGATCCCCGGTGGAGGCGGAGATAAATGGGCAAAAAGTTTCTTTCACCCTGATGCCCCTGTTACTTAGCAGTAAATAGGTACCTGGAAGTTAGACAGCTGCTACGGGCTGCTTCCTGGGGGTGTGTAACAAAAAGGAGTATATACCCGTGGGTAACTGGGGACCAAGATATACATCCCAGGGGGTAACTGGGGACCAAGATATACATCCCAGGGGGTAACTGGGGACCAAGATATACACCCCAGGGGGTAACTGGGGACCAAGATATACACCCAGAGGTAACTGGGGACCAGGATATACACCCCAGGGGGTAACTGGGGACCAAGATATACACCCCAGGGGGTAACTGGGGACCAAGATATACACCCCAGGGGGTAACTGGGGACCAAGATATACACCCAGAGGTAACTGGGGACCAGGATATACACCCCAGGGGGTAACTGGGGACCAAGATATACACCCCAGGGGGTAACTGGGGACCAAGATATACACCCCAGGGGTAACTGGGGACCAAGATATACACCCCAGGGGGTAACTGGGGACCAAGATATACACCCAGAGGTAACTGGGGACCAGGATATACACCCCAGGGGGT